AAATGACCTCTGTATGTATGTATGTAGAAGTACCACATTTACTACATAGGAATAATACTGTAGTGTCCTTGAATTACTAAGTTACAGCTGTATCTAGAATTATCACAATAAGTACCTAGAAGTACCACTGTAAGTACCACAATAAGTACCTCTAAGCACCACAACTAAAGTACCACTGTAAGTACCTAGAAGTACCACTGTAAGTACCACAATAAGTACCTAGAAGTACCACTGAAGTACCACTGTAAGTACCTACGAAGTACCACTGTAAGTACCACTGTAAGTACCACCGTAAGTAAGTACCACCGTAAGTACCACCGTAAGTACCACCGTAAGTACCACCGTAAGTACCGTAAGTACCACCGTAAGTACCAAGTACCACCGAAGTACCCTGTAAGTACCACTGTAAGTACCACCGTAAGTACCACCGTAGTACCACCGTAAGTACCACTAAGTACCACTGTACCTAGAAGTACCACTGTAAGTACCTAGAAGTACCACTGTAAGTACCACTGTAAGTACCACTGTAAGTACCACCGTAAGTACCACCGTAAGTACCACCGTAAGTACCCCTGTAAGTACCCCTGTAAGTACCACCGTAAGTACCACCGTAAGTACCACCGTAAGTACCACCGTAAGTACCACCGTAAGTACCACTGTAAGTACCTAGAAGTACCACTGTAAGTACCTAGAAGTACCACTGTAAGTACCATGGACTTACCGGCCCGTAATGTAAAGTGTTACCCCATCTCCCTCTGAGTCCACAGAACCCCAGGACGGAGTGCAGCCCTGGTTCATCACCAAACCTAAGGCTCTGAGTGCCACTGTGGGCCAACACGTGCTGCTGTCCTGTGCCATCGCCGGAGACCCCTTCCCCCAGTTCACATGGAGCCGCTGTGAGGTCGGCCGCCCCCTGAGCTCTGGAGGGGACTATGAGCTGCTGCAGAAGGAGGACGTCATCTCTCTCCTCATCAGGTTTGTAGTGGAGATTCAAGGTCCACAACCCAATTGGTTCGGCCTTTAAGGATTATCATGCAATATCGACTTTTTTGAGCTTTTATTACATTGTTTCAGCATCAAAAACAGACCTGGTGTTGTTTTTTCTCCATCCACGCCAAGCCCCGGCGATCCAAGATGGCGCCCTATTCAAATGAATGGTTGTGCTCAGTGGCGCTTTGTGACGGCATGGGGGCTGAAAAGATTAGCGGAAGTTGCCTGAAACTCGCAAAGAACTTTGGGAAACTCGCAAAGATTTATGGGAAACTCGCCTGTATTTGGGCATCGTCTGGTCCTCCCGGTTCTGCGCAGTGGATGATCTCCCATAATGCGTTGCGTCAAACACGTGTGTGTGGGTCTCACACCGGGTCTCACGCACGTGCACAGAGGGGCTCGGCTGCGCTCTGACCAATCAGAGCAGTTCATCAGAGCGGGAGTTAGAGCGAGAGCCAGACGAGCAGAGTTTGTGGCACTAAAGTGTGGATTTAAACAAAACCGAAGGATTTAAGAAGAAAAAAAGTTCAGGATGACAAGGGACACTAAAATCCCCACAAAATCCGACCTTTATGAAAGCTGTAGGTTCTCTGTCAGCTGAGGTTGAGCTGTTTTAAAATGCATTGAGTTCTATGGGGGAAATTTCTGGGTAGCCCACGTGAATTTAGTCTGGTCTAGTCTGCAGTACCGCGAGAATCCCCTGAGCACATGGGTTATTCAGCTACAAGCTAGTAATACCCTATCCAGTTAATATAATAGATCCATGATCCACGCTAATATCTAAGACTTCTTACACAAACATGTCTGTCCTGTGACAGTGTGATGTCATTGTATTACTATGACACCTTTGAAACAGATGTATTGTCTATAAATTCGTTTTGGTAATTTCTCAGATGAAATGACGTTGTTTGTAATCACACCTCTGTGTTTGCAACTGTTAATTGTGTAAGAAAATAAATAGAATGTAATTTGACTATAGGGCTAGGCAGAAACGGGGACTTAACGTGATTGTCTGGAGTTTGTCAGACTAAAAGAGAGAGAGGTACTTGATTTGAAAAAAAAAACGCAAGCTCCCTCCCCCTTCCTTTCTGATTGGTCTACACCTATGTTTCTGTAACACATTTAAACGTTAATCGGAAAATACATTATATAATTATTAATACACATGCATGGAGGTTTTCAGAATTATTTGTTAAAGTTTTAATGAACAATAAAAGTGATCGAAACCCAGAAGTAGCTATTATCATGAATTGAACATTATAGGACACATCTGCAGATGATCTGATTATGGATATAGGTTCAGTATATAAGATAAGATAAGATAAGAGTTCCTTTATTCGTCCCACAGTGGGGAAATTTACAGTAGTAAGAGCACACAGGGATCACACAAGATATACAAAACTAATAGCTACTGGTGTGATGAGTCTTATCTTCTCTTGAATGTTGCAAAAACAAAAGATATGATCATCGACTTTAGGAAGAGCACTCTCCCACATGTTGTAACATATATAAAGGGACAACAAGTGGAGTGTGTGGAGTCCTACAAGTATCTTGGAACAATTATTGATTGCAAACTGAAACTGTGCTGCTGTTTGTAAAAAGGGCCACCAACGACTGTATTGTCTTCGGAAACTGTCCTTCTTTCATGTAGATAAAACTGTGATGACACTGTTTTATCGGGCATTCATCTAAGCGACCCTAGCTTTCTGCCTGGTCGCCTGGTACGGGAGCTCTTCTGTTAGAAACAAAAACGCCTTGAATCAGCTCGTCAAGTAAAGTCATTGGCCAGCCTCAGACCAGTTTGGACTTTCTGCATGATAGACAGCTAGAGAGGATGGCACGAAGCATCGCAAAAGACTCAGAGCATCCTTTGCACTCAGAGTTTCGATTGCTTCCGTCTGGGCGTCGGTTTTTGATGCCAATGAGCCACACGAACCGTTTTAAGAAAAGCTTTGTTCCCGCTGCCCTTTCCTTTATGAACAAGTCGGGATCAAACTGCCCCTGACACAGGTTTTTTATCTTTGTTACTGTCAAGTGGCTTAAATTTCAGTTGTTTTTTGTACCAAAGGCACATCCTGTTAGTATGTGGAGCACTTATAAGTTTTATAAGTTTTGTATTTTATATGTATGATGTTTTTATCTTTGAAATGTGTTTTAATGTGTCGACTAGTTCTCAGAATTGCAAAACGAATTTACCCACGGGTACAAATAAATTAACCTAACCTAACCTAACCTAACCTAGCAGTAGCTATGTTTCTTAACTAGCTTAACTGGCTGTAGATGCTGGAAATGCTTCAATACCATTCAACAAATATATACATGTAGTAGTAGTGCAGTTATATACTGTACAGTTAAATAGTGCAGGAAAATAAGTGGATAAGGTAAAGTGACATTCTAAAGGAGCAGTATTGCATAAATGGGTAACTCAGTGCGGATGTTCAGAATTCTTTGTTCAGTTTTCATGTAGTTCCAGAGCCTATAAAGGCTTGATTCGGAGGCTCCGCAAAAAAAAACAACTGAGCAGCTCTATGGCTGTACGCGCTCTTTGGCCGCAGTTGTGTCTGAGCTGTGAGCCGCTTTGTCAACGCGGCAGTGCCTTAACGTGGTCATTATGTTCCCAGGACCATACACGCGCACACAACCATCTCTGCTTGTTGTGTACGTGACTTTGCGGAACTTGTGGACACAATAAATACACTCCTGCAATAAACAGAGCTGGATGAAAGAGCCTCCTGAAGTGCCCGTGTCTCCCACGTGTCTCCCCCTAAACTCACTAAATTAAAGCTGGGGTACGTACATTTTCCCTTGCATTAACAGCTCATGTTGATTGGGCCAATAGTAAAATGCTGTGAACAAACAGATTTAATGATAGCTATTGGCTGACATTATGTATTTCAGACTGTTTTGAAATGTCCCATTCTCATCCCTGTAACAAACAATAGTTTTGGTCTGTGCCCTCACTGTAGTGACATGTTGGTTACTCTTTTGTAACGTAGACTATTGCACTTTATTTTAATTGTTGAAACTGCATAAATCTTCTACAGTATGTGCTTCTGAATAATGTATAAATAACCGTAAAAAAATGTGACAACAAACCGGGCCGGGCCAATGAGGAGGCAAAAGTCCTGGGGACGTTTTTTGGTCCCAGTCCAGCCCTGGTATGGCCTGCGGGCTGAAATGTTTAAGGCTTAAAAAATGCGTTCTAAAAAAACAACACAATGATTTCACATATTTTAGTCCTTTTTTAATTGTATTGGCCATAATTTGTATGCATAGGAAATGACTTGGACTTGACTTGGACTCCAGGGCGTGGACTTAGACTTGACTTGGACTTGTGGGTCCAGAGACTCTGACCTGACTTGGACATGATTTGGGCTTGTGGGTCCAGAGACTTGGACTTGACTTGGACTTGCGGGTCAGAGACTTGTGTGTATCTCTGGGGCTAGGTATTATTGACATCAGTAATGGTTTCACCATATATTTCCTACTCAAGATATTAATTTCACTTTCTAAAACATGAAATTCCGAAGTAAATAGTCTCTTGAATGGCCTTGAATATTTCTTCTAAATCCTCAAAATCTGTTTAGTTTAGTGGCAGGCTCAAGTAAGTAAGTAATCTTTGTTTATATAGCGCATTTCACAGACCAAGGTCACCCAAAGCGCTTTCAAATTTGATTTCAGATATTTTTCCATTCTCTCCACACATAGTGATGAAAAAAGCGAGACGCCAAACACACTGGTGCATCAAAGCCCCCAACCAACACCATCCATTCACTCATTACATTCAGACCTATTGTACATGTTATTAGCGGCAGGGGAAACCGGAGCACCCGGAGGAAACCGGAGCACACACAGGGAGAACATGCAAACTCCACAGAGAAAGGCCTGTAGGTGGAGTCAAACATGGGACCTTCTTGCTGTGAAAAACAAGCTCTTAACAACTGCGCCACCCTACCACCCTCAATTTAAAAAAAGTAATACCTGTAATATAAAAAGAATCACATCTTGACTTGTGAGGAGCAGTGGAGGCTGGTGGCAGAAACAGCAGGACTGAGGATGTGAGATGGTGTTTATATTAAGACCATGACTGGACAGCTTTGTTTTGTTATGCGTTTGTTCAATATCCGTACTAAAAGGATTTTTGGCACAGTACAAAGCACACATCTTATTAAACAGGATAACTTGTATTGTCTTCCAGAATAACACTTTTATTATATATTCTTGCCAGGATTTCTAAATTTCCAGATCTGTGTTATCTTGACAGTCACTAGTGCTGTGTACAGTGTGTGTCCCATGTAGAGTGATATTGGAGCTTTAAAATAAAATACCTACTCGCCTACTCAAGTCAAATGATGTCAAGTAAAATGTTACTTATTTTATAATGTCAAGGCATGTTTCTTTGTATAGCACAGTTCATACACAAGGCAGAAGCAATCCTTCAGTTCTATGCATACTATTAAAATGATCATTATTTGTATATGTATTAATATGTATTAATTAATATTTTTTTATTATTTTATTTCTATTTAATTAATTCATTTTTCATTTTTAAAAAATTGTTTATTTAAATTCTTGATACACAGTGTGTGTATGTATGTATGTATGTATATCTACAGTATATATCTAATGACTGAATCCTCTTTTCATGTGACGTTGAAGGCGAGTCCAGCAGCACCATTCGGGGGAGTACCTGGTCAGCCTCAGGTCAGTCTCTTCCCTTTTTTTTGAACAAAAAACAGAAGAACCAGGGTTTTTTAAAGAACAACACATAACCACTACAGGGGAACAGCTACTGTGTGTGCAAACCTGGTAAAGACCTATAGTAATCGTTTGACCTGTTATTGCCAACAAAGGTTATATTACAAAGTATTGAGTTGAAATTTTGTTATTGACTTTGTTATAGAATACTTATTTTCCACCATCATTTACAAATACATTCTTTAAAAATCCTACAATGTGAATTCCTGGATTTTTTTTTTCCACAATCTTTCCCTCACAGTTGAAGTGTACCTATGATGAAAATTACAGAGCTCTGTCATTATTTTAAGTGGGAGAACATGCACAATCGGTGGCTGACTAAATACTTGTTTGCCCAACTGTAAATATTAGTTCCATTTATCTATTACATAGTTCCATTTCATATGCAAGTTCGGTATCCCAGCTTTAACTGCCAGCACACTAAAAATACACACACACAATAGTGAGTTTCTTGTGAGCTAGCATAACACAAACATCCCCCCGCTGTGAGAAAACAACAGATCATGTGACAGGGGGCTCACAGTGAAACCCCTGCATACGGATGAGTTACGACCAGAACAGGTGCGCACTTAAGGAGGTGGACGGGCTGTACTGACCATGGTGCGTTTGTGGTCCAGGAACTCTGTGGGAGAGTGCAGCGCCGTGGCCTGCCTCTCGGTCAGCAACGAGGGAGAGGGCGAGAGGAGCAGAGCGCGCAGAGCAGCAGCCTCAGTGGACCAGCATAGGTGAGTTCTACGTCACCGCATAGACTTTCTGTAACAGGCCTTTTCAAGTTGTGGCACAGGGACAAAAGTCGGGCCCTCTGAACAATCTCCTCCGGCCCTCAGCCCAAGTTCACTGCAATAAGTGATCATATAGGATACAGTAAATTCAAGGATCAAGTGTTTTTGAGTTCACATTTTGAAAATGGACATTGGTCATCTGCCCTTTATGGACCAATGGCTCTTGGTGTGTGTGTGTGTTTTTTGTTTTTTTTTGCGTTCGAACTGTTTTATTCTCTGATCTAATTTAACTACTGTGATTTAGGGCTATACAAAAATGAATTGCCAATGGGACAAGCAAAACATTTCTTCTTTCAAGTGAGGATTAGCTTGCCTCAAATCTCGCCCCTTGAGACGAATCTTCTCTTTTCCCAAACGGTTATTAAACAAAACCAACATACACAAACAAAAAACAGACAAGACATAATGCACATACAGTATAAAAACAAAATCGCATAGTTTGCTCGATGTAGATGTTGGCCTGTGCCATTTGCAATTCTTCATCTTTAGTGCATTTTGTCTTAAAATTATTCAAGTTAACCATATAAATCCAACCATTTTTGACTCATGCTCGGCGATATAAATAAAGATTACTTACTTACGTACTTAATGTCTTAATGCGAGTTTGTTGAAAAGCTCAGAAGTGACATAAAGGCTGTATAATGACATCACCAGCCTATTGGCCTCCAGGGCACAGCTGCGTCGCCATCATCATTATCTTCTTAATCAGATTACACTGTATTACCATAGACTATGCGTTTGGGTCAATAATAATAACACACTGAATATGTCACTTTTTTGTTGTCAGTACTTAGGTTAGAAATATAACAAACTTGAAAGAATATGCATTTAAGGGACACAGACCATTCTGTGTGGAGTTTGCATGCTCTCCCCAGGTTTCCTCCAGGTGCTCCGGTTTCCTGTACCACTAAAAACATTTACAGTAGATATACCATTGTGCCTCCTGTTTGGCGATCTGCTCCCATCTTTGTGTGGAGTGAGAGACAAATGCCAACAACAATTGTAAAGCGGTTTGTATCTCTGGTCTGTGAAAGGTGCTATATAAATAAAGATTAATACTTACAATGACTTACTTACACAGGATTATTCATCGGGTAGCGCTTGTATGGAGTTTGCATTTTCTCCCTGTGTCTGTATAGGTTTCTCTCTGTGCTAATAAAAACATGTACAATAGCGCCCCTGTAACAGCCTCCCTGAGCCCCACTGTCAGGCCAGCACTCCCCAGCACTTTTCCCACTTTCAGACATGTTCGATAGTAAAATATTTAGTTTTGTATCCGAGCACTACACTAACTAATGCATGAATGATAGTTCTGTGTGTGAGTCCGCCCATGACCAGCCCCCAGCTCTCCACTTCTCATCCCTGCATTCATCCATCCATCCGTCCATCCGTCTGTCCTATATCCAGAAATTCCCTAAAGCTCCTCTAATCCCTCCATATCACCCAAACCAATCACAGGCGCATTTCCTCCCTGCCTCCCAGCTGGACGCTCCCATTGTTTACACGGCTCTGGAATGACATTCTGGACAAATAGTGAGCTTTTCTAATGGCACAGATCAAGGCAAAATTGTAACTAAAAAACCTGCTTTGAAATTCTGTGTTTCAAAATCAGCATATGATTTCCTTTGTCTCTTCCATTTTTGGATTTGTTTGCCTTTGAAAAAAAAAAAAGTGACCTTTCCTATTGGAATAAGTTGTTTCTCACATAAAAAAGCATGTTTGATCACTGAAAAAGCAATACTTTTATCTCAACAAGAGAAGGATGTAAAAAAAAAAATATCTAAATTTAAAGTAAAAATATTTGGCCTTTTATGAACAATAGTTTAACTCAATGGACATGTATACACACTTCTATGTTTACTGCAGATAATTCAATCAGAGAGCTGAATGTTCTGGTTTTGGCTCTTCTTCAAAATGTCTTTAAAATTCACACTCACAAAAATAGTACCACACATATTTAATTGAAACCAGATACAAAAAAAACAAAAATAAGTTTTCATAATTAATGCAGAGTTTGTACAGTTTCTAGATAAACTACAGCAGGTGGAAGCTACTTGTGTCACGGACCGGAAAATTCTGGCAACAAAAGTTGGAATGTAATAACTTTATAAGACCACTTATTCATATTGCATACTGTCCCTTTAAGCCTACTCAAATCAAATTGATTTTTGTATGTAATGTGCATAGAAGATACTCTAAACAACTCAAATTACATATTTGGAAAATGTATGTACATGTTAGATAAGATTTATATATTATTTATTTCATTGCAGAAGTATAAATCTAATCTGAAAAACCTTTCCAACTCCTTACTAGATGCATGCAACATGTTCAAAACAACCAGGAAAATCTACTTTTTGCAGTGCATTGCAAATGTTCCCAGTATTTTCCTTTTTACTAGGCCCAGTGGGAATTAAATGAACTGGGAGGAACTCGTTGATGCTTTGAGAACAGACCGGGTGCATGCCTTTATATGGACCTGCGAGTCATTTGTGATGTAACATTATGATTCGAGGTCCTTCTAACCCCCCTCTCTGCCTTTCCCTATCCTCCAGCGCTGTTTATGTTCCAGTGGGCAGGGCTTGCGGCTTTACTGGCCCCACTGTCCACTTGCAGGGGCAGCTTTAAACCATCCCATCTTCTCTCCCTCATCGCATTTTTTTTTTCTCTCCCTCCCTCTCCCTCCCTCCATCCTTTCCCAGTCCCACAGCGGCAGGATCGGAGGAGAGTGCGCAGTGGCAGAGCTCCGAGCCGGAGTTCAAGCAGCAAGGCGGCAAAGAAGAAGATTCCCAAACAGCCAAGGAAGACCTAGGCGCTCCGAGGGGTCTGCTGAAGCGCTCGGTGGAAACCAGGGAGCGCGGCGAAGACGAGATCCGCCAACGGGAGGCACAGCAGTTAGATTTTCGCTCGCTGCTCGGACGCCGAAGCACCCCCAGTAACAACAACAACAGCAGCAGCATTAGTAGTAATAACGATTTCGGGACTGGTCAAGAGGATACCATGGATTTTAAAGCAAATCTCAAAGGGCTCAAGTCCAAATTCGAGGATGACCGCAAGAGCAACTCCACGCAACAGGTGGATTTCCGGGCCGTTTTAGGGAAGAAGGGATCGGCAGCAAGTCCACCTTCCAATGCTGGGAACAAACCGGGCGACAATAAGAACGCCACAGACTTCCGATCGGTGCTGGCCAACAAGAAGAAGGCTCCGGAGAAGAACGGGGAGACACCAGAGAAACCAGCAGAGAAGGAAAAGGAGAAAGCAGCGGTTAATAACTGCGTAGACGGAGCTCATCATGAGAAGAAAGCAGCAGCAGCAGGTGCAGGTGGAGGCGGAGGTGCAGCTGGAGGCAAAGGGCCGGAGTTTAAGGAGAAGCTCAGTGATGTGACGGCGGTGGATGGACAGAGGCTCCGGCTGCAGTGCCGCTTGGCTGACCCCGCGGGCGCCACGGTCACCTGGACACTGGACGGGAAGGTCATCAAGGCGTCAAAGTTCATCGTCTTAGCGAACGAAGGTATGATGCATTGGCAAACATACACATGGACATTTTATGCACACACGACATCTTGAAGTAGCTACAATGAACTAAACAAGGCAAGTTTATTTTTTCATAGCACACAAGGCAACTCAAAGTGGTATTTAAAATCATAAAAATCACAGTACATTAAAAAGAGTTAAGATGAATCCTTCAGTTGTACGCCTGTCTCCCGTGTTCAGGAAGCCCGTTCCAGATTTTGGCTGCTTAAATCTGATCCATGGTTGAAGAAAATGGATGATAAAGCACAAAACTTAAAAAAAATTATCAAAATATGCATATGTACAGTGAAATGACCTAGTTTTTTTATGGTTGGATTTACATTTAAAGCAAATCTTGAACCTCAACCATCCAAGATATCAGCTGAATGTTGTTTTGGCAACACTCCAAACATAAGTAGTGACTCTGCAGTGGTGTTTTCCTCTGTCATCTGTCACATATGCAGCACGTGCACATCGACATGCAGCAGACAGGGGCAGATAATTTTCACTTTTCTTGCAGTTCACTATCGCAACGAGAGATTTCTTCTTTTTTTTTACGTTTCCGAAGCCCTTTTCTTGAGTGTTGGCACAGTCTCTCACAGGACCATAATGACTGGCTGTCATTCAAGTGCTGACAATAAGAATGCTACTACAAAGTACCTTGCATGTTATGTCTAATGTGTCACGTTCATGTTCTTAACTCATTGACTGCCCTTGACGTATTTGCCTGAGAATGGTGATTTCTGTCAATTTTCCCATTATTCGACTGGATAATACAAATAATAATAATACAAATGTATTTTTGCTGATGAAAGTAGATAGTCCAGTAAGTAAGTAAGCAAGTAATCTTTATTTATATACCGCCTTTTCACTGCAGATCTGAGTCTCAAAGCGGTTTACAATTGTTAATTAGGGGCACTTGTCCTCTCACTCCACACAGAAATGGGAGCGGGGTCGCCAGTACAGGAGGCGCATGCCAGAACTATTGGACATATTTTTAGTGGTAGGGGAAACCGGAGTACGCGGAGGAAACCTACGCAGACACGGGGAGAACATGCAAACTCCACTCAGAAAGGGCCTGGTCCGACCGGGATTCGAACCCAGGACCTTCTTGCTGAGAGGCGAGAGTGCTATCCACTCAGCCACCGTGCCGCCCTGGTGGCATTCAGAATCTACATTTCACATAATAAATCATAGCACATCATTTTCTGTGGGTCTTGAAAATCCAAAATGGCTGGCAGTCAATGTGTTAAGATTATTTTTTTTTGTATTTTTTATACAATACAGTCAAATCATAAACAAAGCGTTTCAAACGTACTTTTTGACTGTAAAAGTACACCAAAGTGGACTTTTTTTTTTTTTTTCCATTCCATTTTTTTTTTCATTATATCACTGCAACCACATTTCTTCCCCCAAATTATTTAGATTAACTTGAGAGTGATGGGAATTGGAAAACGTGGCAACTGAAAACATAACATTTCTAAAGACAAACTCAACTCAAACAGACTGATCTTAAAGCAACTTAAAATAAAACAATGTCGTTATGATAACATTAACTTGAGCTTTAAGTCTTTTGACATGAGAGTTGTAGTTGACCCAGCGCTTACAAATGAAGCAGCCGATAGAAGTTACTGTTTCCTCCAAACGCTGCAGTGTTTGTGACGATACGGAGCGCTCTGTAAACACCACCTTTAATTCCAGTCGTTAACACTTTCACATGGGACACGCCACGCATACTTCCTAATAAAGTGAGACCCTGGGGAGCGCGCAGCGGGGGCCAGAGCTCCAGCCAGCTGCCCCCCCTCTCCCCCTCTCCCCACCGAGGCTAAATATAGAGCCCCATCTGAAACAATGGAGAGAGACACGGATGTGACGGTCACTGGAGACATAGAAGCGAGGATCGTTTTACACAGAGCTGCCTTACTGTACCCCCTGATGTTTATTCTGGGAGTGGGACACAAGTGTTAAGAGGGTTCAAAACAGCACCATCACCAGACATTAAAGTTAGGGTTTAGGATTTGGGTTTTATGATTCATACATGACCCAAGTTTGGCCTCAAATTGACGTGTCTTCAATTTGAGGCCAGTGTCCTCCTGGCGATGTATTTGACTCCCAGTCAAATACAATCATTCATCATTAATGACAAAACAAGGAATAAAACAAGGATTTCTATCGGGGGCTTTATGAAAAAGGTGTTAGTTATAGACTATATCCACACGAAGACAAAACGCTTATAATTTCAGAAACTTTTTCTGTAAACACGGAGTTAGCTCAGTAAATGTGTGCGTCCATATGAATGTAGTCAATACGCCTGAAAACGCTGTGAAACTATGCCAGACCTGTTGGTGGCGCTGTGACGCAATGACGGGATCAAGCCCAAACTTCCGTGACGGGAACTGGGCATGCGCAGAATTTTGTAAACAGACAACATGGCAAGTGGGCGAGCTGGTACTGCATTAGTATGGACGGACGATGAGGTTGAACTGTTGCTTCGGATCACACTGGATTACAAAACCAACAAGCTACAAGAAAGTGTCATTATTTTCTGAGTGCGGCGCATGCGTGCTTTAACAAGAGGCGGGGCGATGACGCAAGCGTCTCAGATACTTTGCGGAGAGGCAGTAACCACAGAGCGGCATATACGGAGTTTTGAAATCTTTCCACTCTGGGACCTACTTTCAAAAATGTTCGTTTACACCCCCCCAAAACGCCGGCCTCGTATGGACGATACACTGGATTGATAAAGTATTTTTGCGTTTAGGCCTGAGCTTGACTTCGTGTGGACAGGGCCATAGATTTGTTGTTGACAAAACTCTTGTCTATTCAGTTCCAGCTGGATTTGTGGGAGAGTGGGAGTGGGAGAGATTGCAGTACCACTTTTGGCCAGATTTTTACATTTTGCTCCTTTATAGGTAGAACCGCTCAAATTTCAAAAGTAAAAGATAATTTCACGAAAAAGAATTGCCTATAAACTACATAAAGATCCAGAAAAAGTCACAAAGTTATGAACACACACCACAAATATATGCAGAGTATTTACACTTCCAAAACTTCAATTTTACAACAAAGCTGTAAAATTGAATCCTATGGGAGTTCTAGTGAGGAGTGGAAAGACAAAGCTGAATTTACTGCTGAATTCACCTGAATCTCCCACTCGGCCTGTCGCAATAATAACTATATTGGCTTGAATAGTCAGATTCAATATTTATTGTCGGTATATTTTTGTCTATATGTTCACTTTTTTATTTTTTATTTAATACAATTTTAGTTTGCAGATTTTGCTGCAAAATTGTAATTGTTTGAGTGAGATAAAAGTAGTGTCAGTATTATAGTTTATTGCAATGTATTGTCCTTTACAAATCTGTTGTCCTTTACAAATTGTGGCTGTAATATAGGAGGGGCTTGGATTTCATTCGCTGCTCCTTCACGATGAGGAGCCCAGGAGGACATGTGGTTCTTCTGTGATGACCAGACTGAGATTGTAAACAAAGAGAACAATAATCTAGAGTAATATTCAGCACTGATGCATATATTCAGCTTCAGTCTCCATTACTATTGCCTCTTGCTGCGGCCCAGTGTTTCCTTTCCTTGTTGAAATGCATTCTCAAGCCGGTACTGCAGGTTTCCGTGTTGTCAGGACCCGCGTTGGCCACAGTATCAATGGGATGGTGCCAAACTAAAATGGTTGGAGAAAATGACAAAAGATGCGGAGATCTGGGATCATGTTAACCTTGCCTGTAAGCTGAATTCTTGCGGAATTTAAGAGTTCACAAACACGAGAATACATCTTGCACCGCTCCCGCTTTCACTTATTGAGTAGAACATCGAGGTGTTCTTCCCAATCACGGGGCAGCTTGAAGTTTAGGGTGGGATATCCGGATTTGACGAAAGTAAGCAGTACCGAGCCGAGGCAAAACCAACATGGCCACCCAGCAGGACGAATGCGTAGCTGAGGCTATCAAGTCAGTTTTAGCAGAATCTGATTTCTTTTTTGAAAGATGTTGTGTTGTATTACAAAACGGCAAAAGTCCTTCAAAGACATGATGACAAGGCAGTCCAAATAAAACTAGTAGTCCAGCGAAACTTGTTGTGGTTTACACGCTGATGATGACATATTAATTTGTTACCGTGATTGGCTCAAGTCAAACGTGGTAGGTTGTATTAAGGATTCTCATCCTTTATACAAAATTGAGTCCTACACAATCATGAATCTAGCTTTTGCCAGGTTAGAATCATGTCACAGCAGAAGACAATTTATTGTTGGTAAAAAAAAAAAAACAGTATTGCATCTTGTATGTGATATTTTAATCAGACGAATCAAGGACGCTCCTCTTAGTATCTGCCACGGCGACAATAGTTATGTTAGCTTCAACCTTCAGACCAAAACATCAAGTGGAATATCACCGACAACTTCAGACTGTTTCTAATGAGAAGTTCAGTTTTCACCATACTGTAGTTGCATTTAAAGTGTCATCCATAGGGTCAAAACAAACAAAACTGTCTTCAAAGGTCACAGTGTGTACCCAGATCACAAGGGAAATACGTTATAATGGACTACGTCAAGTTCATCATCTACATGGAGGTATATCAATATGGCAACTTTACAGAACAGTAGGAATGAGGAGCAGCAGTTTGAGTGAAAAGAAAATGTAATGCTTTCAAAATCTATTAACTTTGTATTTGCATTGTTGAATACAAAATCCAATGTCAGTGTTGAGAGTGGGTCAGTGAGTTCTGCTCTACAGTGGGGGTCAGATGTGTGCTCTCCTCTGGGACGTGAGGCGCAATGAGATTTGATCAGAGCCACATAAACACCACTGTCATTTGTCAGGATCCAAACATTCTCAAACTAATCTGACGCTGAGGTTAATGGATAATCACGGAAACATAATTAAAGTACCACTCTCTGTTTCTGTTTGTATGTATTTGGATTATTGTTTACAGATGGAAGATATCTGGTGTTTCCCTTGTGTTGTGTCTGTGACAGATGAAAGAATGTTCAAAAATGAATTTATATCTGCAATTCAACTTGAAATGTGGAACTAAAGTCTAAGTCTAAAACATGGTATAGACTTGTTACATGCATAGTGACATATGTCAAGCCTTTGTTTTGTTGTAATGTTGATGATTATGGATCACAGTCCATTTTCTAAATATGCTATTTCTCTGCAATGTTTTTACAGCTGGGAGCCAATTATCAACCTTTCTCAAAATGAAACTAATAAGACTCTTTACATACAAAGTCAGTTGAATTACAAAAGTAAATAGACTTTTGCACAATATTCTAATTGTATGTGTTCCACCTGTAAGATGTACTTTATAAATCTCACACGGGAGAAATGTACATGCCATATTGGCAAGGATAGAAACACTCAAGAATTGTGCAAAAAGTAAGAAATGTGCAACATGTTAATGCAGGAAATATTATGTACAAAAAGTGTCAATTAGAAAGTGGCAATCAAGAAAGAAGTGTCAGAAGTGTTTATGTAAAATCCTATTTATAATTTTGAATGAATCACAAAAAATAAACTTAATTACAATAATTGTATATTTTATTTACTGTATTGATATAATGATAATCTGCTTGTAAAATCCCAGCCTCATTAGATCTGAGGTTAAAGGGATGCGGAATGTGAGACTATCACAGAGAGACGCTGTAGTTCCAAAGTGTAATGCTGTCTTTGTGTCCTTTGGCAAAACACTTTACTCACATCCTCTGTAATGTTTCTGGTATGTGTGAATGATGGTCAGAGGGTCTGAGAGCCGACGGTGGCCAGAGGGTACTAATATTACCAACTTCATACTCCAGAAGAGAGTGAAAGAAATGTCTAGTGCAAGCTGGTGGAGGATTCCCTGTGTGTGTGTGTGTATCTGCGCTAATCCTCACTGTTATTTCGGTCAGAGGACAGCCCCATGTCCAGATCCTCTGCATACTGAGGATGACTGGTCACTTCCCAAAGGCCAGAAGTCAACAGCCCAAACAGCTGGACAGGCTCTGGACGGGCCCCAGGCAGGTCATGAGTGTGGGGTTAGGACACGAGGAGGATTCCCATTAGACTGCTATAATTGCTTACTTTTAATTGTATAGCTGTTTTTAACTTGCACACGTGCATGATATACATTTAGATAGCTAGTTAAGTCTTCTGAGGGTGTTTTGAAAAATCAATCACAGATACTAATTGATGCCAGTCATTTATTTTACAGGCGCTAACAAAATTACTGAGTTGGACACAGCAGCTCACACACACAGTATATACAGTATATATATATATATAATATATATATATATATATATATATATATATATATATATATATATATATATATATATATAAATCATATCATATGTCACTGGGAGAGCTGTGGAGGTTGTCTGTACTGTGAATTGTCCTTCTATGACACACATTTATTATGTATGAAATGTTAAAATAAGCCGGTCGAAATGATGTCCAAGAGGCCAATAGTTAATACAATTTTAATTCTATTTTTCTACTCTAATTTTCTGTTCTACAATATCCTTGTTTTTGTGTTGTTTACGATGGTTTTGAATTGAACGTGTAATAATTGGTGCTTGTGCTTCATTGTCGTGGTGTAGGGTTCAGCAGGCGACCGCAATATTGTAAATTTAGAGCGGCTTAGGCAGAGACGAAGGCAAACATAGCCTCTGTAATGTCAATGACTGCAGTGCATCCTGGGAATGATTTTCATTCATCTTATTTTGGATTGGACCATGATAATCTTCTGGCGCGACGGAGGATGTGTTGTTTCACATTTCCTTTGTGGATATATTCTCCCTTATGTTATAGGAAAGAGCTCACACTGAAAGATTTCTTTAGATGAGATAAAATAGCCTATATCCGTCCCTCGGGGGAAATTTAAGTGTTGCAACGCACACAGACCAGAATGAAATGATAAACAAGAGAACACAATAAACCTCTGTAATAAAGAATTAAATTTGATGTATTTTTGTATAGCCCTGAAAACTACAGCAGGAGGAGTTGTTGGTTCCTCAACCAGATATCAGAGAAATAGTTCAAACTAGGGAAATACAATAGTAAATTAAAGCAGCAAGCGGCGTGAAACGGCCCTCGCCGCACCGCGCGCCACCGCACCAGGCTGTCCCGCATCACGCCGCCCCGCACCAAGCCGCCGCTCCACAACGGCCCGCATTACGCCGCACCACACCGTACCACGCAGCACCGCGCACAGGAGGTGGCGCCGCCGTGTGATGATTGGTTCCCGTAGCCATAGAAGAAGTTAGTCAAATTGTAATGAATATGATAAGTAGAGCTGGTTTGGCTCCCCATGTAAACTTTGAATCAGTCTGTAGGGGGCGCTAAGGGGCCAATTTCAAATATTTCACTTTCACCTGACCTAAACCCTGGAGTTGAACATTGGATTCAAGTTTTGTGCAAATCAGACTTTGTTTGTAAAAACGGGAAAAAAATTAATGTTGTCAAAAACGGTCAAAAAACACGCTCCGCTGCTCAAACAACGTTACACTGATCAAAAATCCCTGAGGTAATTTTGATGGTACATGTGTTTAGACAATGTGGAGTAGAGTTTCGTTCGGGCCTGAAAAATGAAGCCCGACCCGGCCCGAGCCCGCTAATGTTAAGCCCGAGCCCGTATAAGCCCGACACATCTGATTTCCTTGTTGTACGCACTCACCTTCCAATTGCAAGTTTAGTCTCCACTTTTGAATTTGTTTTGTCTCCACTTGATCCATTTCTACTATTGCTCCTGTTGGCTGTTGACCACAGCATGCAGCAGGAGACCATGCAGGAGACACGGGGATGATGCGTTCACGGCTCGCTGCTGCTGTAGGACACGCTGGTTACGGTGTCATTAATATATTAACTTTTTTAATAACTTGTTGTCAATCAACGGCGGACATTGTTATTAATATATATATATATATGCATATCATTATGTATAAAAATCATTTAAAAATAATTATAATAATAATTAAAAAGAAACATATATTTAAAAAAAGAAGCCCGAACCCGACAGTTGAGCTCCAAATGAACTCAGGTCGGGCCTCGGGCCTGCTCGGGCTTGGGCTGAAAAGCGAAACTCTAATGTGGAGTGATATGGAGGCCAATCGGTGAAACGGCCGAGGAGGAGTCGCTTTCCAACCGACATGTATGAAAATGATTGCGGATCATTTTTCCATTTTGCAGTGAAATTTATGGGCCTCCTGTTTGTCAGAGGGCGGAGCCATGATAACATTTCGGTCGTATCTTGTCTTGAGGAACATGTGTACCGAATTTCATGGCTCTACGACAAACTTGACCTCTGAAACTCCCATTGGCTGTTGTAGGTGGCGCTGTTCTGGCATTTTTTGAGTCCCATAAAAATAAACACCCAAATATAAAATTTTTCACCAGGTCTGATGTTTGGGAAAAATGTTACAACTTTTCATGCATGTTCAGGGGGTGAAATTAGGGCTCAAAGTGCAGAATTTGACATCTCTCGAGCAAAAACAATAGGCCCGAGCCCCGAACGGGGAAGGACACATAGGATTCATTGGTCCATAAATGACCACTGTCCATAAATGTTAATGGGTGTTAATAAATGTGCATATGTCGAATCTCTGCTTGTCGATATTAGCTGAAGAACCGACTCTAACACTATACAACATTTTCACTTAGGAGAAAGTATAGTTAGAGGCACCTTGAAATAAGTATAGTATACATACGTACTGTTTATGTATTTGCATATGGATTTTATACAGCAGATAAACTGATTAGTGAATTGTCAGTGAAAAAATAGTGATAGCTTTTTGCACATTCTCGGACAGAGGGGATGGATTATCAAATACAATGTTGAGATCAGTGCTTCAGAGCTCCACACACAGACATGAATAAACTGGTTTATAAGCCCCGTTTCCACCACCCCTTCTTCCCCCTACTCTACTCGGCTCTACTCTACCCCTATTTGCAGAGATTCTACTGGTTTAACTGGTATCAGGTACTTTTTAGTACCTGCTTGGCCCTGGTTTTATGCAGGCCAAGCTGGTACTAAAATGTTCAAACTGACTGATTTGCTAGAGTGCTGCTGGAAGCCATGGTTTCCAAGGAATTTCCATGGGAATTTCCATATTTCAGACACATTCACAGTTAAAATGTAGTTTGAGTCATGTTCAGTGCAGATCGACATGGTTTTTCATGTCATTGTTATTACATTTTTAATTGAATAATTTAGTTTGAAGAATGGTTACAGGCCGAGTTTTGACACAAATCAAGCAGCCGATTCTCTATCGTAGCCATAGACTGGATATCAGGAGTGGACAAACCAAGTGCTGTGTGTTGGCCGAATGTTGAAGAAGCAGATTTTAACATAAGCGTTCTTTATATGGATATTTGTTCTGAAGGGGTGACCTACGAGCTCTAGCAGAGGCCAATGCAAACTAACGTGTTTCTAAGATTGTTGCAAGGGCAAGCTGGAGTTGAAGCCAAATGAAGGAATCTGATTGGTCAATCCTAATATAACTCATATCTGTATATCTAAATAAAAATCCCAGGATTATAGACTGCTAATGTATGTGTGATACAAACGCTTACTGAGCTGGAGAAATTTACTTCTCAAGTCAATAGAAGTTTGTGCAAAACTTCCATAACGTCCATAAATACTTTCCTATTGGTATTCATTGAGATTGGGGGTATGCATTGTCCATCGATAAATGGTCTATGATAGTAGCTCAAACTTTAAATGGCTCTGTCTATGTGGGTTTGTGTTTGCAGGCGGCCTGTGCTCCCTCAGCATCGACAAAGCTTTGCCTGAGGACGAGGGCCAGTACAAGTGTGTCGCGGAGAACGCCACAGGTAGAAGCGAGTGCTCCTGTATGGTGCTGGTGGTCGGTAAGTCACGACAACTCACATTTCTACCATTTACAGAATAGACAGAATAGAGGCTTAAATAAGAGTGAACCAGACATATGGAGAACACTGGTAGATTACAGATCACAATCTAAATCTCTTGATAAATGGTATTTTCAAATAAAATGTTTCTCGAACGAATTGTAAATACCGGTATTTGGAACAATACATAGTTCCCACAGACCAATGAATGTCACATGACCTCCTCGGAGACGCCATCTTTGATGGCACGCTGCTGTGTTTGTGCATTCCATTAAACAGAAGAATGAGAATAAATGTAGATATTCAAACGCAAATTGGAAAAAAAGGGCAACTTTTGAGCAAATAATTGTATATTAATACAATGGCACCACAGTTTAACGTGCTACGGACATGTTTTACATATTTGATCAAATTATGCAGCAAGAATTAACAAGCAATGCAAACATTTCTCAAAAACTTTAGATTTAATACCAGTTGGAGCTCCATTTAATTATTTTAATTATATTAACAATTAATTTAATTAATGCTAATGCCACACTCTGGATTGCTGTTATTGTTTATTTCCGCGTTTTTGACCGTATGTTTTGGTGAATGGTGGGCAACTGATTTTTCCAGGCGTAAAGAGCAGTTTATTTTATGACACAGATCTTTTTACAGAAGCAATGCTGTTTGTGAACATTGTTTTAGCCCACCATAGAACTATTATTATCTATTTAATACATTTACGTTGCCCTCGAGAGCCTCGGACGCGACACCGATCCTCCTCATAATAAAGTAATCTAACGCTAAATAATGAAACTCTCAAGTTACCAGATATCAGCATACACAAGTTAGTACTGAGTAAATTACGTCTGTCAACACATTATAAGATACGATACGCACCTGACACAAAGTGCTCCGAGCATATTCTTGCGTGTTTTGAGGGAGTTTCTTGCCTGTTTATCTTCGCAAGCCATAACCTCCGTCGTTGTTCTGACAAAAGCTTAGTCTTCTCACATTCATGAAGTCTAATGATGGGTATACTGTAAAATCCAAGTTTAACGGAACCTCCGGCACGATTTGAACATCCATTGACCCAGCAGGAGATGACCATTTTCAACTTTATCACGACATTAACACGTTTCAGCTTGTTTTTCTATTGTTTTGCCCACAGAATGCCAACACAAATGGCGCCGGGTCGGCAAATCCCCGTATGTAGTGACGTCATGTAGGAACTATGTATTGCTTCTCGCAGGTGTTTGTCCCATTTCTGTAGATGACTAATACTGTTTTAATTGTTATTTCATTGTAGTTCTATAAAGCAGGGTTTGCATTTGGGTTTTATTACGAATGAACAAATGAATGTGTTACTCCCAACACTGGTAATACAACTCACTTTTTGCCAATAGACTATTTATTTTATTATGAAATCATATGTTTGAATAAGGGTTATGCAACAAACATCTCTTTATTCAAAGGATCAATCTATAGAAACTAAGAGAATGAAGCATGAACAACATTTTCAATTGGAGTCACCTCTTAAATTATTTTCAGTTGACCAACATTGTCAAGGGTTTTTTTTTTTTTTTTTTTGGCACAGACCTGTGTGATCTGTTTGTTTTGTGAGGATTCCTCTGGTCTCAGCTTTTTCCTGTATTTACACTCTTTTCTAATTCTTTATTTATCAAAGCTGTTCCTGGAAGAGCCTCGTTAGCAGTGGAGCTTACAGGAATGATGGTCAAACTCAAGCAAAACATGACTTTTTACATGAAAAAATCCTAACAGTAAAAGCATTTGAGCCTTACAGTTCATACAAAGCAAATGGATTAGTGAGAGGTTTGCAAAATGATGTAAAACCAGACATCCCCAATATTGTTGTCTCTGGGATCTGGATAAAGGCTGTGGTTCTTTAATGGAATCACCAACTCAACTGCAATTGTTTCTTTCTCTTTTAAGATAAGTTTTATCCAACAAATTCAATTCTATATCCTACATTCCCAGTTTTCCCACCAACATAACATCAGAGGATCTTTGAAATTGTTCACTTGTGAACTTTAGAATACACTAAGCTGACCAAGTTCCTCGCTCATGTTGTCTTTCTGGAGGGGAATCATTAATTAAAAACAATCATTTTGGGGGAAAAAGGAGAGGTGTGATACACAAATAACTCTTTAAAACTGGGGTAGTCAACCTATATTATTTCACAAGTTATAGATTTTGTTTAATCCCCACAGGAAGAACCAATGAGAACAAATCATGTTATTTAGACACCATAATTTTGCATACTTGTAAGATCAAACTGACCAACGCCCAGTCTAGCTTCTTTAAAGAGGATAATCCTTTCACTTTATGACCTAAGAGATAAACTTGTTTATGTTCAGAAATGTCATATTTCATAAAGCCCTTTTTAAACTACCAAGACCGCTCCATTTTGTAGTAAAACTCATACATGTCACTGCTTCACTGGAACAAACAGAAACATAAAGAACCGTGTTTAATATTTATCCATGTTGTTAAATCATGCTCCTCTCTCCTCTTCTGCTGCCTCTGCACAGACCCGGCAGAGAACTCCCCGGCTGACAAGAAGTCCAAGAAGGCCACGCCGACTTCAGAGAGTGAGTTTCCAAAATATGCAGCTGCAGACTCTTTCCTTTTGTCCCAATAAGGCTGTGCGGGCTGGGATGGCTGGTTCCCACACACACACGCACACACGCAGCAGAGAGAGGCAGCCGCGGGGCTATTTTCGAGTGCTTTGTGTATCATTGGAACCATCAGCGCGTATATCACTGTCAGGTTATTATTCCTACCTCTGGACGATAAGCCCACCGCGTTTCCCATCTGGCCCTATAGGTCACTGCCTCTTTAAGAGACGGGGAGAAGATCATGTGGGTTATGGCTGTATCTTTGGTTGGTTCTGTCGAAAAATGAGAGACTTGGGGATCTTAAGTAAGAAATGCTTTTAAGATGGGGTTCGATCCTTGATTGTGGTGGAAATCTGTAGTTATTGTTGTTAAATGATTGGGGTTGTTAGAGAATGACTGAACTTAGAAACGGCTAAAGATAAACCATGATGTACGTTTTCAGTCACGATTGTAATGTATTTGACTGCATATTGGAGTAAGTGTAAGTCCTTTCAGAAACATCTGGGCGAGTGGATAGCACTCTCGCTTCTCAGCAAGAAGGTCCTGGGTTCAAATCCCGGTCGGAACAGGGTTTTTCTGAGTGGAGTTTGCATGTTCTCCCTGTGTGTGCGTAGGTTTCCGGTTTCTCCGACCACTAAAAACACATACAATAGGTCTGCCATTCGCATCCTGTACTGGCGACCCCGCTCCCATCTCTGTGTGGAGTGAGAGACAAATGCCCAAAAATAACAATTATAAACCGCTTTGTGACTCAGGTCTGTGAAAGGCGGTACAGTATATAAAGATTACTTACTTACTTACTTACATCTGAGAAATACTGTATGTATTTTATACTTTGTTGTATTTTGTGTATTTGTTTTTAGATTTTTATCAAAATCTTTATGCATAATTATTGTTTTGAACTATACATGATATAACCCTATAAATGACATAAACCCCATTAAGATTATACATATCTGATGTAAACTGAAATTACTGTAAAAAAGTCTATTTGAATCACTGAAATATTTAGTGATGAATACCAAATTGAGAGTTTAATCTGGGTTGAGTATTGGAGTAAATACCTAAACCTTCACCCATGTTTCTTCATGACTAATTTTTTTGCAGACTTCAAATTAGTTTTCTTGAAATTTAGATGCAATATGTAGTCGACTAATACAACATTTAGGCAGCTAAGAAACCATCAACTGATTCATCGACTAAACAACTAAATATTGCCAACACACAATGCTGTCAAAGTAACTGGAGAAGAACTGGGAACTATGAAACCTACAGATTGTGACCCAAACCAAATCTTGTGGTGGTGACCTTCTGTTCCTGGAATAGGCCATAATGAAAATCCCTGCTCATCTTTGAAGTTGTCAAAGTTCTCCTCCAGGTGCGGTCCTTAGTTCCTCTTCAGTGGTGTGAAGCCTGAAGCTCATCAACACTGACTCCAGTGAAGTGTGAAGTCTCATCACATGGAGCTCCTCTCCCTCCTCAGATCTCCTCTGGACCTTTATAAACACCAGATAAACTCACTAAACTCACCTAAACCAGAAACTAGTGTGGAAACAGGGCATGCAAGATAAGATAATACTGTATTGATTAACAATGGATACATTTACATAGGCTTTTATCATGCTACAAATATCTTCACAAAGAGATTAAAGGAATTGTGTGTATAATTATATTTATAGTCTTATGTACTGCTGCCTCCTCATAACTTTTCTGCACTCTCGCTTGGGGAAAAAAACCCTTCAAATTCAATTTAATTTATTCTAAATCACAACAGCAGTTGTCTCTGAGGACAGTACAAAGTTGTCCATTCACAATCAACAGACCAGAGAATCAATCCGTTTGAACTTAGGAAATATTATTTTAACCAACAATAATAAGAAACACTTAGGAGCCATTGGTCCATAGGGAGCGGGATGACCATAAATGTTCTTAATGTCCTTAAATGTCCCGGATCATCACTGTCCTTAGACCTTCCTGCATCTGTAAGGGAAAAAAAGAGTGGGAAAAAAGGATAAGCCTGGTAGAGAGGGATCTGCTCCCACAGACAGACAGGCTGTAGATCCAGAACTCAGGCTGTAAATACAGTGACTTGCGAAAGTATTCGGCCCCCTTGAACTTTTCACCACATTTCAGGCTTCAAACATAAAGATATAACATTTTAATTTTTTGTCATGAATCAACAACAAGTGGGACACAATCGTGAAGTGGAACAAAATTTATTGGATAATTTTAAACTTTTTTAACAAATAAAAAACTGAAAAGTGGGGCGTGCAATATTATTCGGCCCCTTTACTTTCAGTGCAGCAAACTCACTCCAGAAGTTCAGTGAGGATCTTTGAATGATCCAATGTTGTCTTAATGACTGATGATAAATAGAAGAATCAAGTCTCTGTATAAATGCACCTGCTCTTTGATAGTCTCAGGGTTCTGTTTAAAGCGCAGAGAGAACCATGAAGACAAAGGAACACACCAGGCAGGTCCGAGATACTGTTGTGGAGAAGTTTAAAGCCGGATTTGGATACAAAAAGATTTCCCAAGCTTTAAACATCTCAAGGAGCACTGTGTAAGCAATTATATTGAAATGGAAGTTTAGGCAATGGGACAGTGGGTAAATAGCAATGTACAGACTACAGCTGAAGTCATAATGATGACAGAAGGAGGAGAGGATAGTGCTCAAGTTCCTAAGTCCTAGTCCAGTTGAAATAACAAACGTTACGGGTCTCATGTGCACTGACGGATCACCGCATCTACCAAGGCATTATGTACTGCAGGGCCTAACTTAGGCCTGCCTCACATTTTTATAAAGTCTTTCCTATTTAATTTGGATAAATGAGGCTGTGTTTCTGCTGCTGCGATGGAGACACAAATACCAGGCTGTACTATTTTTATATGTGGTTTTAGTAATGATTGGTTCAGCAGCAAAGCAACACATGCTAATCATACCCAAAGATTAGCGCTAACTGAAGATAAAGTAAGATACAGTACAGTAAGTACAACATCCTGTAGAGATCTGACTTGTAATGACATGTAGACATATAGACATATATGACATTAATTTATTCAAACACATTTATTGATTTTTTTTTTTGTAACGTTTTGTGAACTAATCCGACCCCGACATTTTTGTTCTTTTACTAGAAATCAATGTACTGTATATTTTACATGCTGATGTGCTGAGAGAGGGCTGGTACTTTTTTCCACATTTCTACTCTTAAAAAGCTGAGACTGAGACCAAAAAAACATATATGTGAAAACTAGTGATAGATCCAGACAGTTTGGTGGGTGGTGAGAGCGAGGAAATAGTTGCATGGATTAATTTCATATTTTTTGTGGTTTCAAAGTTTAGTACCCTGACAATTACGGGATTACCACTTTCCCCAACATAATGCAATATTCTACTGGGACTGATTTTTTCCAATTGTTCAGTGGCTTTATATTTCCAGTTTTATATTCCCATGTAGTTGTATCATTTGTAAGTAAATATATAGCACGTGCTTCCAGAGGAAAAAAGCTTTCTTGCTTTTGCCGCATGCATCAAGTCTCTGTACCTACTGCCTCTGCCACAAACGTGCATTACCAATGACCCAGCATTGAAATGATATCTATAGATCCATGGACGCTACGCATGGTGCGGTTGTTTTTTTTTAGCATTTCCCAAAATGTTTTGCGGTTCATGTTCGGCCGTGATAGTTCGAGAAGCCTCTGCCTACGTCCCCCAGAATGTTGCGCGCTTCTGATTCTTTACTTCCTGTGTTTTTCTCCTGTTTTTTCTAACAGAGTGCAGTTAAACTATCGAACATTCTATCAACCCCATTTTCTATTGATATCGAGCATGTGTCAATCGCAATATATATCGTTATTGTTTTATCGCCCAGCCCTAATTTTTCTACACTTGTTATCAGAAAACACAGAATGGCCATTTCAGCATTTATTCTCGAATAAATCTGCAGGCATGATGTAACACTATGTCATAAATCCACACTATAAGTGCGCTGCATTTTTGTAGAAGAACATATTTACCACGTTACGTAAGAGGGAGAAGAGAGCCGTGGTCTTATTCCACAGATATAAATTCTAATCTGATCTAAAGCAGGTCTAAGTCATTCTAAAGGACGACTATTAACCCACGCACTGCCAGATAATCACAGTGTGTCCTGGTTTTACGAGGCCCACCAGAGACAAGCATTTACAGAGGTGGCAACTTATCTGTCATAGGAATTGGAAATAGCCTCATAGACGAACTATTGTATGGTGAATATTATGGCTTTAATTATTAATTTGTCCATGACATCATATTACATACATACATCATATACATAGCCATCGCATTAGCCGTTACACAAAGGATTGCAGGATTAGTGAAAATGAAAAGAATTTGCCATTTTTGTGGTTGCAAAGGAGCAAATGGAAAAAATATCACTTGGATTTAGGAAATTGTCTGTTGATTTAAGTTTAAGTTATTTTAATCCATGGAAGTATATTCTGTCTCGTTGTCAGCATTATTTTTTATATATTATCTGTAAAAATGTGTTTCTGGATTACTTTTTTTAAATGATCATATCAGAATATATATATCAAGGAGAGCGCTAGACCAGCTGTAGGAATTTACTTTTCAATGAAAGTCAAGAGAAGACGGTGAGTTGGAGCAATACTTCGTCTATGGGCACTTTCTTATTGGGCCTCTTTCAGCTTGAACTCTGAACAAAGTAAGACTTTCTAAACACACGGATATCAATAATTGCAGTCCTGGTGAGCTTGTTTTTAGTCTGAGGCCTAGGTCTATATGTTGTGCTCAAGGAATTACTGTTTCAAAACTCTTTAATGAAATTATATTTTCATTCAGTTAAATCCGTGTTTGCATGTGTGGTTTAAAACACCAGGACAAATTGGAATATAGGGGTCAGTGAGTGGTCAGGGCATTTCCTGTGTCTTGGCTTTTGTATATTAGTGTTTTCTCTGATAAATATGAATTT